CGCCTTGAGCAGTCCGAACGTTGTCTTCTCGTTGACAATGTTGTAGGCAACGTTCTTCGCCAACGACAACCTCACCACACCAAGAGCCTGTCGATCCAACAAATTCCATTCCGCCTCCGTCATCGTTTCTGGTTTGTTCTCAGACAACGGTTGATGAAGCTTCTTCTGGTAGAGATAATCCTCGATCTGCATCTTCCAGAAAGCGAAATCTTGACCATCAAATTTATCGATCTTAACCTTCCCTTCGTCAGCCATAGCTCTGATACCAATTGTTACGATTAGGCAAAGATAAACGATAAATTAAGAGCAAGAACACAAGAATTAACGTGGTTCACGCAATCGGGGTGATTACGCTAGTCCACGACGAACGAGAGAGAGTATGTATTATTATCAGCGTCCCAAGAGGTTTACAAGTACATAAGAGTCGTTTAAATAGGTTTAGGAAAACCTAAACTGAGATTAGAGCCACAGGCCCAAAATTAAGCCTGTTTTTAAAATTCCCGTCGCCTGACCCGGTCGGGTCTCTTATTTGACCCGGTCGGGTCTCCTTCACAGAACACAAACCCGGTGGAAACCAGGTCGGGTTTCCAAAACAGAAGGCTTCTGCCTTGCTGACCCGGTCGGGTCCATTCCCTGACCCGGTCGGGTCTCACGTCCAGTGAGATCCCCCGGTCTCTGCTTCAACATACCCGGTCGGGTGGCCGACCATACCCGGTCGGGTATCTGCTCTGAACCTAAGAACAAGACTCCATCTTCAACATTTTGTACAAATTAGGTACAACAGATGCTTGTGCCAAGAAGATTCTTGTGGATATGTGGACAGTGGGAAATGAAAAATGATCTTTGTGTGTCATTACTCAAATTAGAAAGATACATGCTCAACTGAATAATGCCAAAAAATGAAAAATGATCTTTGTGTGTTGATGTGTAGCACATGCCTAATCTTATACGGAGTATTGCCTAATGCGTATCATTTTTTATGCAGGTTTATTAATTAATATGTATTTGAACTCCTTATCTATATATTGGTTTAACCATTTAATCTTTTAGCACTTTGGGGTCTGAATTTTGAATGTCATAATGTTAAATTATTTATCTCTATATTTCAAGATTCTTGCAGTCTCAAATGTTTTAGTTGTAATACAGGGCAATTGTTTTGACAATAGGATGGATAAATTTATTCAATTATCCAAATCATGGATAAATTATTTCAAGACTACAAATATTTATTCAATTATCTAAATCATGTGCTACCATATTAGATGTAAAAATAAATTTAAATGTAACAAAAAATATTAACGGTCTTCTTCCCATCAAAGTTCTATAACAAAGAATTCATTAAAGTAGGATTTTCCTTTTCATTTTTTCTTAAAAATAATACCTACTTTCGAAAATAAAGTATGGTATTACATTTTCTTAAAAATAATCTTAAGTAGGAAAGGAAATTACAAACTCAATAGCTTCATGCAAACTTATGCTTTTCAATCACATTTGGAATATTTCAATGCTTAATATTTCCTATATTAATTTCATTGGACATCTACCAACTCGCGCAACGCGCGGGTAAAAACTAGTAATCTAATACGAAGTAATTATTACATACAAGTGCAGTTATAACTATAGATTCGTCCCATAATTCATATTTTGGGTTTATCGTTTTTATAAGTCAACTTTTATTTCAAGTATAAAATTCTTTATCCATCATATTCAATTATATATTAATCAAAATAAATACGGATGCAATTACTTTTCTTACCAAATTCATTGAAATTATTGTAAATGACAACCTTCACTATTATTGTGTATTCTTTTTATTTTTGAATAATATATAATTCTTATGTTAAATATTAATTTTCCAAAACGAACTTATTATCGGTTTCAATCAATTCATCCAATTTAGTTAGTTGAGTCGCTTCAATCAAAATTTCATCAATTTTAGCAATTTGAAGCAATTAAGTCAATTTCAATGTTACTCCGTACTAAATAATGACACTCATATGATAATATAAATTAATTTAATAATATATAAAAATGTGTGTGTATGTATTTCAATGTTATCGACGTGACTCATAAAATATTTGTAGTTTTAGAGCATGTTTGGTAATAGCCAAATCTGTTTTATTCGCTGATTCTGCTGAAATTTATGAAGTTCCAGCTGATGTGGTTGTATTGGCTGATTCTGTCGATTTGTGAAAAATAATAATTTAAAATACATTTTATAAATAAAATAAAGAAAAAATTATATGAAAAATAGCTAAAATGACCCTCTACAGTAACTTCAGCCAATACAGCCCGAAAAGTAACTTCTAGGGGTAGGATTTTTTAACCGGGAACCGTAGAACCGGTTGGAACTGAAATAACCCGGTTCGGTTCGGTTCCTACAAATGAGGTATTAGTTGTTAACGGTTCGGTTCCTAGTTGTTGTTAACGGTTCGGTTCCTGGTTCCTATAAAAAATATATGCACGGAACCATTAAGGAACCGATATTAAAAAATAAAAAATAAAAATAATAGTAGTAGTATTAGTAATAATACTATTATAACAATAATATTAAAAATAACAACAATAACCACCACAACAACAATAACAATAAATGATTGATATATAGCCAATAATTTTAATTTAATTTAATCAACGAAAATAGAATAATAAATATTTGCACATGAGGTTAAATACATTATGCTCATTTTTACAAATCAAGTTTTCTTCCATCACAAAAATTTTATAAATATTAAATAACTCAAATAACTTGTAGTTGCATACATTTTACCTTAATATCCTCATGGTATTTCAAATTATTAGATGTATTATAAATTATGCTACTAGCGAGTAGAATGCAGTGATGCTTTTATATATATATGTACATGCAAATTCAATGTATATCTAGGTTTTGAGAGACCTAAACTCCTAAAGTGTGCATCCTATTATTGCCACTAATGATGAACAACCTTCATTTCTACAGCATAACCAACGAGTTTTATATTTCATGTATTACATAAAAATTAAAATCTTGTTTTTATTTTATTAAGTATTAACTTACTTAAGTTTGAGCTTTGATGTTTGGAACGATTAGAACTCTAAATAAATTTTTACTACTTGTTTTAGATTTTTGACGTTTTTATGTGGTAGAAGCTAAACTATGTGTTAATTCTCAGATTAAAAAAATTATTCTATGAACTGATAAAAGCAAGAACCTAACCGTTTAGTATAGGTTCGGTTCCATAACGGTTCTTAATTTTTTATATAGGAACCGAACCAATTTCATTAGTTAATTTTAATAACGGTTCCACCAGTTTTGAGTAAGAACCAAACTGGTCCCAGGCCTAGTAACTTCAACCTTACTTTTTCATATTATTACACAATTCAGCCCGTAAAATCAAAACTTACGTGTTTGATTAAAAAGTTGGCTTATAAGCTTGTAAGGATAAAATCATAACTAACAAACGGACATTTAATAAATTTACAATCATACAATTTACTTGTAATGCAATTCTAAATGAGTTGGTCCATTGCCAAAGTGGCCACATGCAAAAACAGCCTTATCTCATTCTCGATCATATGGCCTGTCAGGCAGGAAGGAGTATCCACCAATTATGCTTGTAACATAAAGCTAACTCGCCCATTCCCTACGAAATTAAACATGCTTCACCCTCACGTACGTACATTTGCAATTTTGCAGCATGTCACCGTCTTCCTTAGCAAAACTCTCTCGATCTATGAAAAATAATTAAACAAAAATGATACAATTAAGATTTGTGTAAATAAGAGATAATAATAATAATAATAATAATAATAATAATAATAATAATAATAATAATAATAATAATAATAATAATAATAATAATAATAATAATAATAATAATAATAATAATAATAATAATAATAATAATAATAATAATAATACTCCGTAATAATAACTACGTAGTATAAACTATAAACTGTGTAAATTAATTAGAGTGTCAATTTTTTAAAGATCAAAGTTAATAAAGCTAATTAAAGATTTGTGTAATATATTTACTGTTTAAACAATCTCATAAGTCATAACGTAAATTTTGAATCAAAGTTAATAAAGTTTGACTCTAAAATCAAAGCTTGAGTTTAATTGGCCCGGAATGACTACTGCGTGCGTTGCCAATTAGTGCGTGACGTGTCTAACTATCATACATACTTCACTTGGATTGATGATATTTAAATAAATTGGAGTACAAATTATCAAATCAGATCAAACCAGTTCACAATAAATTAAATCAGAGCGAATATAAATACTACGTAGATAAGATAAGATCTGACCAGTTTAGACCACAACAAAAGATTATGATACCAAAGATAACATTGTAATACCTATAAATATAATCTAATTTAATCCTTAAATGGGTTATGATCTAATTTAATTTATGATTGAAATAAATCAAATGAGTTTTTCACAATAAGGAAGACCTATAATATTTGGTATTATAACACCTTTATATGGTCTAGTTTCAGTATAAGATCAGATTACACTTAAATATGTTAGATCAGATTAAATCAATTTAGACGTACACAAATCAGATCAGATTTCAAAGGTTAAAAAATATGTGTACATCAAACATCAACTAGATCACATCATACTCAAAACGGAGCAGATCCAAAAATTTCAATCCAATTAAAACATTTTAAATCCTAACTCACAATAATGATTGACATAAAATATGAGCCTTTAGGGATATTTTAAGTTTTTAACAATAACACAAATGTATTTGAAACTTTGAACAATTGGGTTTATATATGGGAAAACACACAAAACGTAAAGGTCACCCCAATAATTTCTCATTTTTGAATTTAAAAATAAGAACTTCCTTCCATAGCCCATCTCAGCCACCCAGTCCAGAAATCTAACGGCATTCAACATTTTAACGGCAGATAACAAAATAGGAGGGAAATAATTCCAGCCGATAGATCTTCAACTTTATCGTATAAGATCCACTCACTATGATCTCACTCTCATAACACTCCACCCCTGCATTTCAATCACTACGCTGTACTTCTACAATTCCTGTTCGAGGGAGATATCTCTCTCGATCAATTTTTAGATCTGTCTGCTTACTTCACATTCATCTAAGGTAACTTCTCTTTACTCGCAGATCTGTATACTTTTTCCCCTGCGTTTCAAGTGTTTGTGTAATTGTGCTTTTATTTGCGCGCGATTGGTAACGGAGTTTTTTCTCAATTCGTAATGGAAATAAAAGATCCGGCCGATTTGACGTGTGGATTTTCTAGTTTGGTCGTTTTTAATTGTTTGATATAGTATCTCATGATGTTAGGTATGGTATATCCCCTGTCTCGAGATCCGAAGTTGTCTCCCTTAATTTTTTGTTATTTTGTGGATGTATTTGGTTATTTTAGGCGTCTGGTTGCAGGTTAGGTGTTCATGTGTTGAAGCGTTTGTATCTTAGGTAGTTAGTTGGACCAATACGTTTGTTTGTGTGCTGAAATTAAAATTTCAACTGCAATCTTGATCACCTGAGCCTTTGTTATAGTTCAATATGCTTTGTTATTGTAGATTTGTGTACAGATATGTCTGTTTGGATAGCTTCATGTTTTTCCTAAGATGAAATGTTTTGGATTTGAGAATAGACATTTTTTTTGTATTCTTCTGTACACGTGTATAGGAAATCTGGTTTCCAGTATTCTGAATTGTGAGATTGGAGACACTCTACTTTCTTTTGCTACTTGACATGTGTAAATCGCTTTTTCACCTTCAATGAACTACATCTTGATCAATTTTTTGGTTTTGCAATTCATTCGTCTTCCAAATTTCAGGAAAGATGAGAGAAATCCTTCATATTCAAGGTGGGCAGTGTGGCAACCAGATTGGGTCCAAGTTCTGGGAAGTTGTTTGTGATGAGCATGGGATAGACCCAACAGGACGCTATTGTGGGACTTCTGACTTGCAGTTGGAGCGCGTCAATGTGTACTACAATGAAGCATCGTGTGGAAGGTTTGTTCCTCGTGCAGTGCTTATGGATCTTGAGCCAGGCACAATGGACAGTGTCAGGACTGGCCCTTATGGACAGATCTTCAGACCTGATAACTTTGTGTTTGGTCAGTCTGGTGCTGGAAACAACTGGGCTAAAGGGCATTACACTGAGGGTGCAGAGCTTATTGATTCGGTTCTTGATGTTGTGAGGAAGGAAGCAGAAAACTGCGACTGCCTTCAAGGTTTGAGATTATTTTTGATGGAGGGCTTAGTTTATCTCTTGAAATATATTTGAGATTTATAGATATTGAATTATCTATCCACATAACGTGTCATTGCATATTTGCATAACACTTAATCTATTTATTCTTTAAAAACATTCTGTTAATTAATATATCAATATTCTGTGTATAGATACAAAGAGACCATTAGTCAAACATTGTCTTATAGCAAGCTCATGTTCTGTTTCCCATTTTACAAATTAATCAAATCGCTTTTTCACACTTTGCAGGTTTCCAGGTTTGTCACTCTCTTGGTGGCGGAACTGGTTCTGGTATGGGAACTCTGTTGATCTCAAAGATCCGGGAGGAATACCCTGACAGGATGATGCTCACATTCTCTGTGTTCCCATCACCCAAGGTTTAACCATATAATGCAACACTCTCAGTTCATCAGCTCGTAGAGAATGCTGATGAATGTATGGTGCTTGACAATGAGGCTTTGTATGACATATGTTTTAGGACTCTAAAGCTCACCACTCCCAGCTGTGAGTATACTCGGAATACTATTTAAACTTTGATACTAGTCCATATCTTCAGTTTTGTTTTTTCTTTAATTTCACAATTAGATGTTTTTTTGTCTGTACATTTGAAATCAATAGATAAAATATTTTTAAACAAATATCTTAATATGATCAACTGAGCTTGAACCATATTTTTATTTTATCTATAGTATTTTATTTCATTAGAAATCTTTGGTTTCCAAACTGAACTTAACAATTAGTAACATGCTCTATTCTTTTTATGTGTTGTCAGTTGGTGATTTGAACCATCTGATATCTGCAACAATGAGTGGGGTCACCTGTTGCCTTCGGTTCCCTGGCCAACTCAACTCTGACCTAAGAAAGCTTGCTGTTAATCTAATCCCTTTCCCACGTCTTCACTTCTTCATGGTGGGATTCGCCCCTCTCACCTCCCGCGGGTCCCAGCAATACCGTGCCCTTACAGTTCCTGAGCTGACTCAGCAAATGTGGGATTCCAAGAACATGATGTGTGCCGCAGACCCACGCCATGGCAGGTACCTCACTGCCTCAGCAATGTTCAGGGGAAAAATGAGCACCAAAGAAGTGGATGAACAGATGATCAACGTGCAGAACAAGAATTCATCTTACTTTGTTGAATGGATTCCAAACAATGTGAAGTCGAGCGTGTGTGACATCCCTCCAAGAGGACTATCGATGGCTTCCACCTTTATTGGAAACTCGACTTCCATTTAGGAAATGTTCAGGAGAGTGAGTGAGCAGTTCACTGCCATGTTCAGGAGGAAGGCTTTCTTGCATTGGTACACGGGGGAAGGAATGGATGAGATGGAGTTCACCGAAGCTGAGAGCAATATGAATGATCTTGTTTCAGAGTATCAGCAGTATCAGGATGCAACTGCTGATGAGGATGGTGAGTATGAGGAGGAAGAGGAAGAAGAGCCTGAGCAATGATGAATGAGAAGAAGGCAATAAAAATCGTACATGCTATGCTTATATTAGTCCTCCTATTTGTGGTAATGAGTTGTATGTTTGGTTGATATAAATTTGATGGTTGTTGTGGTCTTTTGGGTGGGGGAGTTGTTGACATTCCCATTTGAATGCCGATGTCTCTTTGCATTGTGTACTTAAGATGTTCTGTCATGCTAATTGATCTGAGTGCGATTATTTTTTCTATTTCAAATCAAAGGAAAAGCTCCTTATGAGATAAAAAGTTAAGGGATCATATATGGTTCACTATGGAATCATATGTGCATATAAGTTTTTTCTTATAATCACTCATTTCTAAAATGAAGTTATAATGGATGATCCCATTATATAGGACTCTATCCTAAAATTTCCCTTTAGATTAGATCATGAGTGGTCTTTATTACTCTTTATTAGGTATGTATTGTCTAATGCTTCCTCTTGCAGTCCAGGACTCCTCATTTAGATAGGATCGTATTCGTCTTACCCAAGTGTTTGTGTATTTAAGATTCCTATTATTATAGCATATATAATATTCTAATGCAATGGTGTGTATGTCCTTTCAAAATCCAATGATGTGTATCAGTGTATGATTTTTATATGTAGGGAGAGGCAAACAATTTGTCAATTTTTTTTGGAATTTTTAGATTGACGTTGGTGTTTACATTTATTTTTTGCACTGATATTGATATGCGGATACATCAATAGGCGGATCCACGGATAAGGTAAATCATATACGGAGTAACAAATTTAGAATGTGGGATATAAGTATGAGGTATATTTTAAGATACTAAAAGTGCAGGGGTGGATTTGAAAAAACATCAAATAATTTTATCATGAAGGTTTAAAATAAACTGAGTGCCAAATGCTTACACGGGAAAAAATAAAAAATTAGATTTGAAGTATGAAACAAAATGTCATGCTTAAAACTTTAATGACATTGGCTCATTTACATTTACAATCATACAGATTATTTTTTTTAACAAAACAAAATTTAAATATGGCTCACCGACCAGAAATTTGGTAAGTCTGTTGTTCAATGCTAAAATTACACACACTTAACAAGAGTGAAAGCAATCATATCACTTAATCTTTCTTTTTAAGTGTTTCACTTCGTGGTATTTTTTTGTAATTTTTTATAATAAAAGAAAATGAGAAATGAGCACTTAGCTTTTGGTAAACATGGGCTCCTCATATTCAGTTTTAAACGTGGTGTGATCTTGGCCCAAAAATCAAGCCCTGGCAGTGCGTTTTTTTGACCGTGCCTTCACGCTTGGCTGACAGAGCGGCAAACATCCGGAGATGGAAGATCTATGTATAGGCTATGGTGGGCTGAAGTCCAAGACAGGTTAAAAAAATTCAATTTTTTATTGTAAATTTTTAATTTTTTCATATTTAGCCCACCCAACTAATTTTTAAGGCAACTTTAAGGCTAGTATTTTTACTTTTCAGCCTAGAGCATCCCGAAATCCTGGATCCGCCCTTGTCACTCCTTTGACCATCGTTGCTGCATGATAGGAGGATTAAGTGGCCGGAGTTGCTGTCACCGAGGTAGAGAACAGCGACACAGATGGAGGATCGGAAGCCGTCTACCTACACATAGATAATTGTGTAGTTAAATGACCAATTATCTTCAAGAATTAATTTGAATGCGTTCCCGATTCAAGTTTTAGCTCAAATTTGGTATGAGTAAACTAGACTTGATGAATACGGTGCTAAAAAAATTCATCAAAAAGTTCCACCTAGAACCGCCCCAAATCGCGACGGCCGGACAGAGCCTCCTAAATAAGGACTTAATTGACTTTTTTATGAAAGTTCGAGGACCTATTTGACAGTTTTTCCTACTACTCTTCGTACTATTGCGAAAACATCAATTATATCATCTTATTTTAAAAACATTTAATCAATTACAGAGAATATATTGTTATATTTTAAACACACTCAATCAATTATATAAATTTGTACTATCATAAAAGCGTCAATTGTATTATCATATTTTAAAGACACTTAATAAATCCACTGAACATTAGAAAACATTCAATCGAGCAAATTAACATGTTATCCACCACGTAAACAATTTACCTGCTGACGAAACATACATGTGTCGACTAGTTATCAATTACTATGTTGACGTGGTGCTCCACGTGTGCGCCCAGCCATGAGTTAGTTGCTGACCCGGCACATATGTGGACCGCCACGTGTGCGTCACATCAATAGCTAACTGCTGACCGGACAACTACAAGTAACCTGCTCATTGGCTCAATTGAATATTTTTTCAAAGTTCGAGAATTTAATCAATTTCTTTTAAAGTACAAAAATCTAATTGACATTTTCGCACTCCGTATATAATAGTACAAGGACCTATTTGATAATTTTTCTAAGTAAATGAATAATTAATTAAATAAAAAGAACAATACGAGTATAAAATAGTACCTAAAAATTAACTAAAAATGTACTCCGTAACTTTATAGATGGGGGCTTGAGGTCCTGGACAAAGGGACGATGGTAAATAATGGAAATGGATTGGAAATGGATTATTTAAGATAATGAAAGTCTGAAACTTGCACTAACGATTGATCACACCTGCCGTTAAAACGGAAGCAATTATGAGCTCACATGCACCACAATATGTACATTTGGTACAATAAGTTTATGCAATAAAAGACACCAACACATTTCTTATCACCATTATACTCTTGACAATATTCACTCTTAGAGCCCGTTTGATAGTTTACACATTAAAATTTTACATGTAAAATGATTGCAGGTAAAATGTAAGGCTGTAATTACATTGCATGTAAACTAAAAAATACATCGTTTGGTTATGAATGTAATATGTTTTAAAATTACATACAAACTCTTTACAATGTATAATATAGACTATGTACTTATTATATATTGTACGTCAAGGGCGTATCTACTATGGGGGCAGTTGCCCCCACTCAAGTACTCAACCCCCACCCAACCCCATTATATATATGTTTCAAATTTTATTTATAATATATCATTGTATTATACATAATATAAGTATTTATTAAAACACTTCTATACCAAGCTAGCATAGCAGCCAAGTGGATGGAGTTGTACGCACCCTTCCAAAGTGTCAAGGGTCCGAATCCCCTTGGCAACTCCACTTTGTTTTATATTTTATGCTTTCTTGAAACTGCTTAAATTAAGTTTGTCCAAATATAAAATTCAAATTAATTTTTTTAATGTAGCTAATAAATGATATGGAATTTCAATAACATATTTTCACACTTGATTAATATTAAAATATGTTTATTTGTAACTTAAATCACTTATAATTACATATTTCATCCATTTCTTATATATTTCTGGTTTTGTATTTAAATAAACAATAGAATGTCTAAACCTAATATCCAAATTAGTTTTAAAATAATTTATTTTAATGTAACTAATAAATTATATGTAATTTCAATAACATCTTTTTGCACTTAGTATTAAAACACACTTGTTTATTTGTAACTTAAATTAGTTATAAACATATAATTACATATTTCATTTGTTTCTTATAAAAAAATTGTTTTATTTTTAATAAACTGTCAAATTTTTAATTAATATTTATTTCCTAAATATGTGTGATACCGTTAATGTAAATTTGCCCCCGCTGGCTGAATATCCTGGATACGCCACTGCTGTACGTAGTACTACATATGTATATATCAACGAAGCTTTCTCACTGCATATATCAGAATAGGATTTTCGTGTATGTATATATATTAATCGATTGTAATTATCCTAAATATGACTAAAATAATGATAAGTTCCACAATAGAAGTTCCTCTTGTTTTATTCCCTAAATAGGAGTTAGTTGTTGACTAACTCGTTTCTTTTTCCAGTTTTACCCCTCCTTACAAGCACTTACCCTTATTTTTCCGTCACACTCGATCTTCCGCACGTCTTCCCTCTTTATTCCTCTCTTATCCCTTGTTCTCTCTCTTCGCTCCCCTATCCGCTGGCAGACATGGATTTGCAGCCTTGTTCTCTCGGATTGGGATCCTCTACCCGACTAGGAGGGTGCCTTGCGCATCGGACGGGAGGGAAGAGGCCAACACGGCCTCGAGATCGGCGAAAAAGTGGAGCCCAAGATCTCCAACCGTTGAATTGTCGATCGGACGACCGGGAGGAAGCATGGCACTCTACCTTACTCTAAAGTAAGGTAGAGGCTCCGGATCCTGTTCTCTCGTTTCTCCATCTCCATCGGTAAGTTTTCTCTTCTTTTCTCTCCTTCTCAACCTCTTCCTCCTCTCTTCTTCTTTCTTGGTTAATGAGGCAATAAAATCTTATTTGGCTAGATCGATCTAATTGAAATTTGAACCCAATCCAGATCCACACTAATTGATGAACTACCATGTTTTCTCATCAATTTATTTCTCCAACCGTATGTATCCCAAATTTGTTGTTTATGAGATTTTAAAATTGAAGATGATTGCTATATGTGTCTCGCCTCTGCTCCTAGATTAGACTGAATTTTTATTGGGTTTTTGCTTCAGTGTTCTTTATTTCCAGATCTATTTTTATTTTGTATTTTTTGATTTCTTCCTTTTTTTTCTCTTTCCATTTTTTCTTCGGATTTGAATCTGAATTACTATTTTAATATCATAAAGTTAAAAAAATCTGCAGAAAAAATATTTTCACTTAAAAAAACAGGATATTATTAGTGTTATTTTTGCAAATAATTACACACTCCGCCATAAACAATATGAGAAAAAGTTAAAATACACGTTGAAAGAGACATTATTAATATGAGAATCACAAATCCAAAACATTATTTTTTAATGTCATGTTTTTCCATGTGAAAATTTTATTTTGACATTTAATGCCATTATGATGGCAAATTTAATACTTATAATGCCACATTTTTGCACATTATTGCCATATGTATGGCCACTAATTCCATCATGATGACAATATTATTCCCCACATAAATACATGATTTATAATGCCATGGAAGTTTCAAGATGGCAATAACATTCGTATCCTCTATTTTAAATTGTTAGATGGAATTCAAACTGTCGTATGACATTTTAGAACACCCTTTCTAGATCTGAGAACGGAGATGGTAGATCCACAAGAAACAAGGGTGGCAGCGGCAGATGAGGCGGCAGCGCTAGTGAATGAGTCAACGGTGGCGACAATGACGGTCAAGGCGGTGGCGGCGGAGATGGCGGAGGCGGCGGAGATGGCGGCGACGGCGATGGATATTGTGGAGGTCTGAACTAGCAA